TATGTATGTATGTGTATGTATGTATGTGTATGTATGTATGTGTATGTGTGTGTGTAAGAATGTAGCCCGTAAGCCTCCCGGGCACTAAAATGCTTCTCTCCTCTTTGACAGTGAGCAAACATTAAGGATAGGATAGATTAATTTGCTCCCTAAAGCTCTCATTCTCGTCTGTCCACTTCTTTTCCTCCTGTCTTGTCTGTCCTCTTCATTTGATGCTTTCATCCTGTCGTGTATGTCTGTGTACGTTCCCTATTCCATCCTTTCCTTATCTCTTCCAGTTGATGCAATTTGCAATTTTGGTCGGCCAAATGTTCGTCGTCTGATGAATGACCGCAGTTGGGGTATAATTTTTTGACCCCGGGTCATTTCATGGCGGTCAAGATAAATGGTACATCACAGATAGGATAAAATTATTAAACATTTCTCAAATAATCTCGTTTGTATTTCTGTAATTTTGTGTGTAATTTGTATAATTTAATTTTTTTTTTTGTTGTATAATTTATGTATTCGTCAAAGATTGTTATCAATGAGAAATGAAAAGGAGTGTGATATTCTGATGAATAGTGACTTCTAGAGATATAAATATATCTTACTGCTCTATGATCGACCCTTAACCTTCATCTTTCTGGGCACATTTCATCCTTGTATGATTTAGGCTTCTTAATGGTTAACTGATTCCACAATAGCTGTTTAATTATTAATCCAAAATTGATTGGAAACTTTTGTACTTTGAAGCAAAATTTTGGTTGAAAGCATTTCCTATCGTATCATTTTCTTGCTATTAATGGCCTTGTTTCGTTAAAAAAAGGCCATATTCAAATTTCCCCAAATTTGTGTTGTAGCAAGATTTTTTGTACAGTATCATTGAATAATTTATCGGCACCAGAAATAGATTCTTTGGAAATGAGTTTTTCCTTTTTCGTTTTATTTAATTTTTAAAATGATATTTTAATTGGGGAAGTTAAAATAATGGAAAAACATGTAAAGAAATAAAGGAAAAAAAGATGGCAAACAAAATGCTGATATTTGGCCAATTTATTGGCCTAGCACTGCATTTCAT